ATATTTGCATACTTATTTTATGAAAGAATGAATTGTACTGAATGATATTCAAAAAATGTGAGTTGAATTTAGGGATCAAGCTATACCATGTTCACAACTTTCTGATAAAATTTAGTCTTTAAAAACTTACAGCTCTGTACATTAGGATAGGTATTGCATTTAAAAATATTGATTCTTCATTATTGCTGTGTGCTGAATTTTGTCTTCTCCCCCCATTTATATGTTGAGATCTTAGTCCACAGTGTGCCCAATGTTTAACTGGAGATAGAGTGGGGCCCTCCTGGCAGAATTGGTGACCCTATGAGAGATCTGACAGTTCCCTTCTTCCTTCTAGCTTCTATGTGAGGAAACAGTGAGAAGACAGTGCACTGAAAGCCAGGAGACTGTCACTAGGTGCTAAATTGGCCAACACATTGCATTTCCAGCCTCAAGAACTGTGAAGAATAAATTTTGGAAGCTTAAGCCTCCTAGTCTATTATATTTTGTTACTGCAGCTTAAGCAGACTGATAGAATATATAAACATTTAGACATTTATTTTATTTAAAAAATTCTAATGTTTTATAGAAACACTGAATGAATTTAAAGGAAATGTCATGTTTAGAACAAAGTAGCTAATACAATTCAGAACAGATTGGGCAAAAATTACTGGTGATTGTGGGAATGACTGATAAAAATTCTGCCTCATTATTTCACTTTCAAAAGTAACAGAATTTTATCATAAAGACAGATTTCTATATAAACTTCAAATTTTCAGGTATTTTCTTTTAAAACATTTGCATTCTAGGGTAACAGGCTAGAACACATTCTTACGTACCTTTGAAATATGCAGAATGTAGACCTGGTCAAGACTGCTCTTATTTGACTGGAGAAGGCTTTTTCTACATTGTTACACTTATGTTATCATGACTCATTTTTGGGTAATGCTTGTTCTCACTAATTCACCTTATAGTGACTATCAGTAGAAACTGTGAGCAATCTCTTGAGTTAAAGAGACTTTTTTTTTAAACACTATTTTCAAGCCAAAAATAATTGAAGTTAAAGAATCACATGATCATCTTTGATTTTTATTGCTGCCTCCTTTGTTTACCATTAAGTTTGAAAATATTTTTTCTCTATTCCATCTTGAAAAATCCATTCATTCTTGTCTATTTCCACTATTGTGGTTCTAATGAAGGAAAAGAATAGAAAACCAGAAGGAGACATTACAAAGTGAAAACCTGACTCATGCAAAGAGGTGGGGGGAGAGGGTGCTAACATGACCATTAACCCAGTCATAGAAAGCCTTATCACAAGGTACAAGGCCCAAGCAGGCGTCAGACTACTATATCAAACTGATGTATTAAACTGCTGTAGGGAATATTGGAAGCATAGACCCAAGGGTAGGGTAGAAATATTGGACCATTGCAAAATCTCCATCCCTTTAGGATTCCACAAATCCAAAAATCAGCAGCAAACAGGCCACTCCACAAAGGAGTGAGCCCCTCCCAAAGAGAAAAGGACTATACTAGGGCAGTCTCTGCACTGACCCAGGGCAGCAGTCCTCTGCCACCTGTGACTATGCAGGTACTTTTTTCTGCCCCCTCTCTCCCTCTGCAGGGCAGCAGCCTCCTCCTGCCCATGACCTGTACCATGCCGGGACTTCTCTGCACTGACCTCCCATAGCGGAGGCTGCTCTCTCCTTAGGCCGCTGCCTGTAGCCATGCAGGCCTCTCAGCAAGACTGTCCCTTCGGAGCAGCTTTTGTGCTCACTTGTGCCTATGCAGGCATCTTTTACTTCTCTTTCCTTTTCCCTAATAAACCTGCTCTGTAAATATAACTGAGTCTCTGTCTCACGGAGAAACTCGCTTTCGAGCTCACCACATGCCACTGAAAGGGGAGCTCTGGTGAAACCTTTCCCAGAGTGAACCCAAGGAGCCTGCACTAACTCCAAAATAACATCAGTTCCATTCTGAGTTCCTATTACTTCAGTCTTGAATACCTGGAACAGTATCCTAGCTGACATCCAGACCTATGTGTCTTCTTTTTCTAATTTAGATCTGTACATGCCAACAGATAAAACACTGCTTTCATAGGCCTTTGCTCCTGCCACTTACTGAACCAGGTCTGAAACACAGATCCTGACATTTACAGGCCTCTACAGAATCACCCCAGGCTCCACCTCACATCTTGAGAGCTACAATCTACCCACTCCTCTGTGAACACATCTAATGTTTTTGCCTTTCTTACTTCAATTGCTCAATTTATAGAATTTATCTTATTTTGTATTCTTTTCACCTTTTTCTAATATTATGGTAAAAATACTACCCCCCCCCCCAACCATTTGTATCTTTTTTAAACTCCTTAGCATCAAATGATTGCTTTGGCAACCGCTCAGTCTGAGTATTTAATTCCTGCTTGTTGGATTATGTTACTAGTGACCTCACTTCCCTCACCAAATGTAGGTTCCCTGCTTGAACATCTTCACCCTTTCCTGACATTCAGGCTCAGGGCTCTTTCACAGTCCTCTGAAAGTAATCTCAGCTGAATGATGTCTTGGAATTAGGGTGATGTTTAGAGAGGCATAGGGATGATTTCTCTAAGTTTTGCTTATGGATGCTAATCTTTACAACACAATTTTCAATCATCAAAAATTAGCACAAGCTGACATTTTTAGTCTCTGATCAAATAAGGACAAAGATGAAAGAGGCAAGAATCTGATGGGTCAATTATGCATTTCTGAAAATAACCATGACCATCAAAGGGAGCAAATTTTGCCATTAGCAAAAGGTATTTCCATATTCTTAATCCTCCCACTTCGTATTTCCTTAGTAATATAAACTCTAAAAAAATAACATTTTAGTCCCCCAAGGCAAGAAAGAAAACAATATGGAGATTAAAGTGAATTCTTTGGGTATATTCATATGGAAATCATTTGTTAAAATGCAATCTATTTTTTCAAAGATGGTCTGAAAATAGAAAAAGTTGCCAAGATCAAGTAAGCAGTCTGACAAGTTTGCCAAGATTAGAAAGCATTATTTAAATACAAGCAGAGGAAGTGGCACCCTTAATAGGAAGCCAAGAATGGAACAATCAGAAAAGCAGGAAAAAGGAGCACTCAGAAAGTTAAATGCCCTCTTTCAGCATTGGGAGTGGGGCATGGTATTTCCTACTGCATGGCTGTCACCTGAGGTGAGGAATGAACAGAGGTTTTCAGATTGTGCAATGAAAGATTACTGGTAATCATAGAAAGAGTAGTTTTTATGCAAACTGTCAACAAACAACAGGTTCACGGTCATCTTGTTGCTCTTTTGCCTACTATGACTAGTATGCACATGATTTCCATGATTTCTCAGGAAGGGGGGAATAAATGAATGCATAATTAAGGCTTACTGTTGGTAAAGCAATGTGAGCATCTTTATAGTCATACCCTCAGAGGGATGGAAATGCAAGAATCAAAATGCAAGTTTAGGAAATGGGTGTTTATAAGTAAACTAAAGCTGTTTTAATGCTTGTATTACATCTATTATATCTGAGATTTCCAACCATGGTATTTTATAAAAATTGGCCTTCACCTGTTTTGTCTAATTTCATTTCACATTTTGATTCCTTGGGGATTATATGTGTATTTGTTGTCGAATATGAAAATTTGAAAAATCCCAAACTATCCCTTTTTTCCTTCTAAATAAAATGACACCCAGAAAGGTAAGGAGAGGAAGAGGACTCAAATTAATAAATGAAATGGGACTAGAGCTTATGATCTCATTCTCAAACTCAAGGCTGTTTTCACTATATATCCTACAATGACCTCCAATGTATGTAAATGTATCAAGATACCCAACATTCCCATGAATAATTTAAAAAATGGAGATTGAGCTTCAATTCTAAACACCTATGTGTCAATACTGTAAAGTTATTTTTTTAACCTAAATTGATGACAGATGATACATAATATAGTTAAGCATAGAAAATTAATGCTAAAAAATCACTAGGTAGTATTATTTGTAGACTAAATTTTAAGTTTCAAATGAAGACTGTAAAATGAAGGTTACAAACCAGAAGAGTTTTACAAAAAAAAACCTTTTTTCAAATTATAAAAACAATCCTTCACTATTAAAGGCTTACGTCAAATCAGCAAATACTAAAATTCTGTTCTGCCTGTTCATAGTTTTGTATCATTATCAAACATAAAATTGCAAATGAGAAAGCAAAATATGTTTTTACAAATAAAAACATCTGTGTATTACCCTTGCTTTTAAGTTATATTTTAAGTCTACAGCAGGAAGTAGAACCTAAAAGTCAATGTAAGTGAAGATAATCATGTATCTAATGGTTCAAAATGCTACATGCACATAAAACATGTTTCCAGGTTTGGAATTTAAATATTACTCGTACTTTCTAGTGAGTAATCATGGAAAGTCTGAAACACTTCCATCTTTCATTTCCCCAAGATTCCTTGCTATCTGGTAGCACAGACAGAATGCAGTTCTCATATGGGAGCTTTAAAATACATAAATCTATCACTTAAAAATTAGTACTTTATAGGAACAAAATGGGAGGAGTCATGACAACAATAGAGGTGTCATTTCAAGGACTTCTGAGTAATTTAATCAACTATGTTATATTATGTGAATGGCATAAGGTATAAAAATGTCAGCAATCTTACTGATAGTTCCAGTGACAAGCAAAGAATAGAATACCATGATACAAAATCTATCCACAACATGTTGCAATAGACACCATCGATGTCATAACCCTTTCAAGAGTGTATTCTGATTATCTTACATGTTTGACTGAGGGAAAAATTCAACCAGAGAAGTTATGGGCTACGGTCAAAGAACGAAGTACAATTATAAAAGATGAGTTTCTCTGTGTTAGTGCTACATAGAATAGCTGGTAGCAAATTCATATCTGCTCTGCTCTGTTTGCTAAATAGGGGGTCGAAGTGACAAAGTCACTTAACACATAAGTAATTAATGTTGGAAAAATGAAAAGCAAATCAACTGTGGAAGGGAGCTCCCACCTCTTGCCTGTCTCCCGGGCCCACAGCCTTCCTGTGCTCCAGGGCTGTCCTGTTGTATACTCCACGGCACTAGCTGGCATCTGCGCCATTTGTGAGTCTTCCACCTACAAGAAAAGGAGTCCCATGGAGTAGAAACAAAAACAATAGGCAAATCAGAGATATTGTGTGGAAACATGGCTGACCACTGTAAACAGGAATTTATTTAAAAATGCTCAGTCTCACTATAATTCCTTGACTTTCATAAGTAATAAAAAAATACTTCCTCAAATAGAAAAAAAATGCTCAGTCCTATCTGACACAAGCTATGCAACATCTATCATCTGACAGATTCCGGGTAGATCGGGAAAAGCTCTGAGAAATCAGACTTTCCACTGCTAACTTATGTTATGACCTCCTTTTTTTGTATAATTGTAATATAAAAATATTCTGAGCAACTTTCAGCTTACAATTGGATTGCCTTAGCCACATAAGGCCTGCCTGCCCTGACAAGCAAGCACTGTACCAGTGTGAAAAATTCCCCTGAAGTCAAGTGACTTGACTACTGACTGATAAATAAAAGCAAAAGGGCTGTTTTTGCAAAGTCTCCCTCACTCCTGGATGGATGGATGAAAACCCAAATCTTATCATTCTATTATCTCACCTAGCCTTCTATTCAGCTTCTAAAGAATTACTCAAACTTCCTATTGTCTGGCCTTTAGATGTGGAAATTCATCCAGGTTGCCTGTTTTGAAACTAGACAAGTTTTCCACCTGCTACACCTTAAAGTAATCCACAAAAGTCTTCTGGCTAGTCTTTCAGGATTCTACTATGTAGTCTTCAGATAAGAACATTCACTATGTCTCCTATTCAGAGATTTGACTAGCAAGGAATTTCCTCTTCTGCCTCCCAGAATGACTCAGGTAGAAAAACAAAAACCCATTAAGTAGTAGATAAGGTTTAAGGGACTTCTATCTTAGTTGATCTCCACTATAGTAATATTAGTCATAAACTTTGTGCACCTATATACCTGTTTTTAACCTTGATTGTTTTTAGAATGTTATATCTCAGCCAAAGGGCAATACGACACTAAACTGTTCTTAGAAAATAAGATGATTGTAATCTCTCAGCCCAGTTTGTGTGCTGATGTCTTCCCACTGCTTGCTCCTAATGTATAAAATAAACCTCTGCTGAAGGCAGAGCAGGAAGACTTGCACCCAACTCTGATTCCCATGTTTTCCTCCCCTTTAGCCTTTTTTTCCTTCTCGCCTTTTTTTCTTTCTCCCCTTTTTAGGAAATCTCTGCTCGCTGACGCCTTCCCACCTTAGGGTCCTGCCTGTCTTGCCTCCAGACACCTCAATAGTTGGAGCTGGTCTCCAATACCTATCTTCATTTAATTTATATGCCATCAAGACATTATCAAGAGCAGCAGTAGACATATTAATACTTTCTATGAATAAGAGTTCATCATCTGAAAGTTCTTAGAAATGGCTTCTACAGAGAGCACTTAGAAAGTTCTTAGAAATGGCTTCTACAGAGAGCATTTTTTTTTTTTTAATGCTAAGGCTTGTTAGGAAATAACACCAGAGTATCAGAGTGAAGAATTTCATTTAAAGACAGATATTTTATACTCAAGTTATGATATTGTATTCAAGTCATGAACCTTCTACAGAGTGGTTGGTAATGTAGAGTCAATTAATATGCTCACAAAAGCAAATCCCTCAAATAAAATGTTCATACTGATAGCTGTCAGTGTTTATCATGTGAACTGACAATTATACTGTTTGTCATCTCAGAATTAAATGCAAATTAATTAAGAGGCAAATTTCTCACCCATTTTATCTTAAATTATTATTTTGTGATCATGCAATCCATCAACTAATGCCATAATATTTCACTTGTTGTCAGCATTACAATTATATATAACATCAAGTTTTATTTGGGACTGAAGAGTTATGAAGAAAAATTTCTCTGTAATTATCAAGATAGATGATGATAGGTAGTTTCAATAACCTTAATTTTCTCTGAGGTGGCCCCACAAATGAACAGAATTGATATTTTACTAGCATCATTGAGATAAAGATGTCACTTTATGAACTAGAAAGGCAGTCTTATGAAGAACAGGTGCTTCTTTAAGTGAAAAAGAACAATTTCTGAAAGCACCTGCATTTCATATTAACCACTTTTTTTTTTTTGCATCTTAGTAGTTTTTATCAACATAAGATATTCCTCCAAACTCCTAGAGTGAACAATACAGCCAACACAAGTACTTGTTTCCTGGAGATAATTTCAGAGGCAGGGCAGGTCTTTTAGAGAGGCATACACAGATATAGACATCCCACAGTCCACTGAGCTCATGGGCTGTACTTGCTTCCTCTCTTCATCACTACAAAGAACAGGAACTTGAAATGCTTGCTCAGTGCTTTGCTCACAATGCTCTTTCTTTAACTCTATTATTACCTGTAGCTTTGACACACTTGGGGGGCCTCACAGGCCTTCTCCTCATAGAGAGGATCGGAGCAGTCCCGGCCTCCGTTGGCTGGCAGCTGGATGATGACCCGATGCCGAGACTGTTTCTTAACTCCCAAGTCCCCTGGAAGCAAACGGAGATTTAACCTGTGTACTCTGCACCGACCGTTACAATAGTCTTCATATTCTAGCCATTGTGGAGAAATTATATGGCTCCTAGCTACCCGTGCTTTGACATCCCTGAATGAGAGGCTTCATCAAGTTTAATCATTTCCTGAAATCACCCAAAGATTGCTTATATTGAAAACCCAATCAATTTATACTAAAAATTTGAGAACGTAGTACCACACTCACCTAGCCTTCCTAATGTGCAGTCACGAAGTAATTGCACTTTGTATATTTCTTTCCCCTTGAGAAATATGACAGATCTAATTAATTTGTTTTCCTCTACCTTAAGTTCATTTCCATGTCATTTCACATAGCCCTGTTTACCACAGGGGACTCATTCACATCTAATGAATCTTTCTTGCGAGAATATATTCAATGTTTTAATGTGGAATTTTATTTCTTTGTTATCACTTAATTTGAAATTCATAAGTCATAAATTATTCTAGCCACTTATTATCCATGCTAAACAATCTACGATCTTCAGTTCAGATCCCATTCTAAATATCAAGACTCCAAGAAGTAAAAAGAAAGTGGTTTCCTAGAGGCAGACTTAGAGAAACATTCAAAATAGCAATAACTAGAAGTAAATACCTCCAAATTATTATAAAAAAGCAATGGGAATATTTAAGATTTGCTTTCAGTGAAGATATCACTTTCAGAGTGGTATCAGAATAATCTTATTTATATAAATGTTTGACTACATAAAAGTATTTCTTCAAAATAAAATAAAAATAGATTTCTTAGTCTATACCCAAAACTATTAAATCAGAACTTTGTGAACCTAATTTTTTAAAAAAGATTTATTTATGCATGCCAGAACAGAAGTGTGGGGTGGGGTGTGTGAGAGGATTCACCAGAGAGATTGAGGGATAAAACTGGCAGATCTATTGAAGTACACTGCTGAGGGGAGCAGCAAGCAAGCCAGAAGAGGTCTGCTACACCATGTGGGTCACCTTTTTGGTAGGGGATCAAGCCTGGTGCAGTGGCTACTGATAGCATCATAGGGCTGTGACTTAACCTCTTGCACCATCAGGGAGGCTTCTGGAAAATTAATTTTTATAAAACTTGCTAGAGAATTGTGATGAACTGGAATTGATGACCTTATGTATCTTGCCTCAATTTAAGATTCTAGAAGTCATATGTAACTTTTTAGGATTATTCCCATTGTTGGGAAAACATGTATTATTAAAGACAGTATAAACTATTTTAGTGAATTATTATAATACTACAGGTAATAGATTAGGGAATTAGAGGTTGGTGGTACTCAAGAATAAAGAATTAAATATTTGTACACTTTGTCATAGATTTGTTTTAAATGTGAAAGTGGTAGGTTGAATGCCAGCTGAAAGTTTACATATTAAATGTAATTTTCTAGGAAAAAAAACTAAGGAATGCCAATGGGACTTTTAATAAAGTCCATCCATTATTATTACCCAAAAGCTCTTTTAAGAAGAAAGTGATAAATTCTGCTAGTAAATCATACCTAGTAAAAGTTTTGTTTTCCTTGACAATTTGTTAAGAATCTACTACCCTTCTACAGTTTGCTTTGTTCACCAGAATCTCAGAACTAATTTCCTTTTCAACTGTGGATGCTTACTTTACTTGATTTTTTCGTATAAGTTTTCTTTTCCTTCCCCATCAGCTCTATTTTCCAAACTCTAACTTTCCTTTGTATTTTATTATTTTTCTTTTCTTTTATGTCTATAGTTTGTCTTTAATTATTTTAAAAGAGTGTGCTATCTAAATGCCCATTCTTACTTGTTTAGCACTGGAAATAGGAGGGAGGAGGAAAAAGCAGAGTAGAATACAGAGTAGCAGTGATTAACGTTATTAGAGAAAATGATTTTGTAACCCTTCTCAACCTACAGATAGGAAATAAAGATAAGAGTTGATACCAAGAGACCAGGCACTGGAGGTGTTGGGACAATGTGTTCATCAGTGACACCTTATAGACTGAAGTACCTGGTTATTAACTTTCTTGATTTAGCCTGGCATACAGGCGCAACTCTCAGACTGGGAAATGGCAATCAAACAATAGTGTTTTATTTCTATTTTATTGACTCTGAAGCAAAAATGCCATGTATGATGGCTATGTACAGATTCAAAACATTCTGGAACCTTTTCATTATAACCACCGGTTTGTACCTGATATAAGAAAATGATCACTCACTTTACTTTTATAGTTGATTCCAGAGTGACAACTCATCTATTCTTATAAAAAGTTCAAATACCTAAACCTAGTGCAGCCCACCATATAGAGACTGTTATCTGATTAAAGTGGAACATCTCAAACTCCTAACATTTAAAGAGGAAATTTAATGGACTACACAGGAAGTGTCATGACATCCATGTTTCTATCCACTGGGAGGTTCTTTTTTGCTCAGATCTCAGTTAAGAAATAACTTGTACACTGAAAGAAAAGAATGCTATAGAGCTCAGTCAGGTCACAGAGCCTTCAGATCAGAGTACAAAGAGTGTAGGACAGCACACATTTAAAAAAGAAAATTGGAGGTTCTGCACTAATAAATGGACCTGGTAAACTTGACATTTGTAGTCTCTGTATTTCCTGAATTACTTACACCAACTTTATTATATGTGATATATATGATGTGTATATATATCAACCATACATTATACACACACACACACACACATAAAATTTGTGTTTCTATATTTCTTGTATTTTATCACCTAGGACAACATTCACATAGTAAACCTTTAAATATCTGCTGACTAAGAAAACATTTCATTCTTCAATGCACTATCATTTAGCATCTCATATTGTTTTCATTCATTTCTAAGTCTTTATATTGAAGATTAGCAATAAGTAGGATATTATTTTGTTTATTGGAAATAATGTGATTAGAAAAGTAAAGGAGATTTTCTTGGAGTATTTATACTTGAATATACCTATATAAGATAGAGACAGAAAAAAAGGGATCATGCACCCAGAAAATAATTATGTGATAATGGGGCACATAGATTCAGCATGTATTAGTCATAAAGCTACAACATGTTTCTGATATCTGAAGCTATTACCAGAGAAATTATGAAAGGATTTAAAGAGTAATCAAGGATATGATTTATTAGGCTAGAAATGGGAAGCACTAGACTCACATAGTGACAAAAACTTGAAAGTGAAATATTTCATGCAAGAAGCAAAATGTAAAGATAGTTTTCAGGTCTTTGTATTTCCCATGGAGTACTCCTTAGAGCATCAGAGTAAAATGACTGCCTCTGTAGTAACCTTCTAGTTCAGAAGGTGCAAATGGTGTTAAAAAAAAAAAAAAAAAGGAACAAGGAGAATTTGAACAGCCAATTGTTTTGATCAAAGGTAATGATTTTTTTTTTTAGTATGGTCACAAATAATTTGTGTGCATAAATGTGTTTTTTTTTCAAAGAATCCCTTGTAAAAATTTATGAAAGTATGAAAAAGTTAACAAGTACAATGGTTTGAGGATTAAAGTACTCTGTACCAGGTGCTGGTCTTTATTGGCATTGATTTTTCAAGCTATCTCCTGAGAGAGGGATGCATACCATTTCCAATAACTCTTCCTGTTCTTCCTGGAATGTCAAACTATTCTGTTTCATTTTCTGCAATATTGTAATATAATTTTACCACTTTAAAATGATTTTTTTGAAAGAGGGTTTTATAAGTTCAAAATCCTTGTAAAATTTAGAATTTACCTGCAGAGTTAAATTAAGAAGAACCACCTCACCTTTGAATTAATTTTCTGTTGCAATTATCTATCCTTGCACATTTAACTTTGTTTAGCATTTTTAATTGTGTGTGGAAGGCAGTGTAATTTCAGTGCAGCTTGGATTATTTCCATTTCATAGAAAGTAGTGAAAAAACTAATCACCTGCCACTGTATGGTTTTCCTTACAACAAAAGGCTAGTTTTCTGTGACACCATTGTAGACTTATTCTCACAATAGTCTGTAGGCAAAACAGAAAAGGTTTCCCCAGCCACATGAAGCATCTTGGCACTATTGTTCAACAGTAATGCCCTCCCACTCTTTATCTTGTTTTACTTTCTCAGTACACAATTATAGTCATTCTTTTTAAGTCTAAATGTTTAGGTTTAGGGTTTCTGAAATATTTTGTCCTAGGAAATTTATCACAGTGCTCCCAAACAGAACAGAGGCCTGATCTCCTGTCCCTGTTCTTAGCCAAAGATAACCTAACCTCTCTAAGAGCCTCCTGCTCACAAGTCAGCAGATTCCCAAGCTGACATGTTTGTTCTCCGTCTCCATCACTATTCCAGGAGAAAATAAGTTTCCCGTTGGTACCATGCGTTTTAATTTATAGCCATTATCTACCGCCGCCACAAGAGACCTTCCCAACTAAACTATATCTCTCGTGCCTTGTCACTTACTATAAGAAACTAGCACCTCACACCACCACCCTGGATGCCTCCCATCATCACTTGACCCTTGACCCAGCACTATCTTCATTCATAATCTGATTCATTTTCTGCCCTCTAGTCTTTCCATCACTGTGCCCACTGACCACATGCTCTCTCCTCTATATTCTTGTTTTGGAAAGTTTCCTTCATACTCAATGCCAGTGGAACTGACTCTACCCAGCCTTTTTTCAGTCTTTGTCTTCTTCCTTCACTCTTAAAAACTCTCTAATTCCTCTAAAGCTCCATCATTAACTTTATCATTAGCAATTCACCTTGTAGGGGTCATTGACAAACTTTGGGACATCACTCATTGTAATCCTTTCTCTTTCCCTCTGTATCACTTTGGTGGCTTTGGCATCTACATGGTTATTCCATCCAAGGAATCAGATTCTGAGTTCCTGTACTTCTCATCCCCAAGGACATTTTCTTGCATCTCTCTTCAATTACTACCTCTTTTGTTTATCTTGTGATAGTAGTATCATCAGTACCTGCAAGTTTTCACCTTTCAACATCTAATTTCTGTCACTCCTACTAATCTTGCAGGTTAA